GCTCCTGGCCACAGCCCCGGACCGCAGCCTCACTCCTGGATACAACTCCCGGGGGTTGTAAACCAAGTAAGGAGCGTGGGGGTGTGACCCAAAAAGTTTGGGGACCGGTGTCGTATGGCCACATGATGCCAGGACCTTAACCGTCAGTCCACTGCTTTGTGGCTCTCTTCATTGCCATGATATGAGATCTCCTTGTGGCTGGGAGGGAGGAAAAGGGTGTTTTTTCCCCCTCCCAGCTATCTGGGGGAGGTGATGGGTGGGGGAAGTTGCCAGTTCTGTTCCCAGTGCGTCAGCTTGGGCATCTCCGGTTCAATGCTTTGTCAGCACAACTGTAAGCAAATCTTTTTGATGGTGGAACTAAAGCATTGAGGCCAACTCTGTGAAATGTGTGATTCTTTCTTTCTCTCCCACCCCCTCCACCGCCTTGTGTGCAGGGGGTGTGTGTTGACTAAGCAACATTATCTCTTTCCTTCTTCTGCAGTACAATGTTCAGTTGATAGAGATCGAAGCTGTGTTGGCCCTTCCTTCTCTCATTCCCCTCCCCACGGAGGGCCGTACCTTCTCCATTTTCTCAATAAAGCTGTTACTGATAATGGTGGTGTCTGTCTTGTGTCCTGTGCTAACTTTTGCTGAGAGATGCCTGCGTTTTGTTCTCCCAGTGATACGGAATCAGTCCTTGTCTTCCTTTTGTCTGACTGCAGTAAGACCAAAAGAGGCACTAAACATTTTTCTGATTCTTTGAAACTGAAGCTTGCCCCACGAATGCAACAATATGGACACATGTTTTTTTAGAAACAAATTGAAAAAAAACTGAAAAATGTTTAAAATGTCAAAACCCTTCGATTTTGGGGCTTGAAATGGTTTTCCCATTTGAAATTTTAGTCTTTTAGTTTAGGTGTTTGATTTATTTATTTATTAATTAAGGTCACAAAACATTGTGAAAAGCAACAGAGGGTCCTGTGGCACCTTTGAGACTAACAGAAGTATTGGGAGCATAAGCTTTCGTGGGTAAGAACCTCACTTCTTGCATCTGAAGAAGTGAGGTTCTTACCCAC